TATCGATGTATGCTTGGTTGTAAATTAACAACAACAAAAAAAACTATTCTTTTGATTTGCATATTGTGTGAACAGAAAGAAGAAAATGCTAAAGAAGATATTCACTACTACTTGCTACTGCTTTCCAATACTAACGCTAACTAGAGCACCAGCCAAATACAATCGCTATGCACATTATAAAAAGAAAACATCATTTATTATATCTTATCGTAAGTTTAGAATTACCAACCAAAAAATAAAACAATACAAAATAACGACAAGAACTAAATAACAATTAAAATGATCATGATAATGGCTGCACCCATGAAACGAAAAAAAGTAGCTATTTAACGACTGCTAAATGCGCGTGGGATTGTTTACTATTCTTAGTTCTTCTTTTTTGTCCTGTCAAAAATCTGACAAAATTTTAGTGGATGTTGATAAGCATGGCTAATCATTTTCTTACAAATGGCGTCTCTCTCCCTTCTCTTACTCAACAAAGAGAGAAAAAAGAACAAGATTTTAATATTTAATAATTTTTTTCAGCTTCATTTACACAAGCTCACCTTCTTCCATCTTTACCTACTGCAGCTAATTCACCGCAACATCTAGTTATGAATGATTCAACGACAAAAACAATATCAAATGATAGTGATTCATCATCACAAAATTCACCAAGTAATCCATTGAGAATATCTGCTATTGGAGAGTTAATCGAAACTGAACGATGTTATGATAATAATTTATTAAACCATGACATAATGCTCGAGTTGTAAATAATTATGAAATCGAACAAGGGTGTGAGTCTTGAGCGAGAGAAGACATCCACACACACACACACAAATGAATGCATAATATTATTTTTCTCTAGGAAAAAACTTGATTTGTGTCTTATTGTTGATGAAAGAAAAACATTTGTTGATAGTAACGATTTAAAAATAAATATTATTAATCATGTGCCAAAATTATACAAATTCACCTTTAATATCCGATCATCAAGTCGTTTTTATAATGAAGTTAATTTACTAGCAAATGAATATATGCAAGAGACTTTAAAAATAAACAAATTATTCATTCTTTTCATTCTTTTTCAAAAGAAAAAGAAGCTCGTTGCCTTATTTATTCATATCCATATAAACTAAATCATTACAATGGTGTAACAAATAATTTTCCAGGTGGAATATTTCAATGTGTTCGTAAAGTGTCATTATTTGATGAACGTCATTTTGAACATGAATTTTTTCTTCAAATTCAAAAATCAATTCCTTTGATGCAACAATTCATTGTAGTTAATCAACAACGACAAACTAATAAAAAATTTGGAAAAGCAAACAATGAAAACGGAGATTTAGCGACCATTCATTACCCGGATCTTGAACATCTTGATCATCTTGATACTTGCATACATTATCATCGACAATTCTTATTGGATGCCAAAATGTGTTTAACATATCATGTGCGTGTTTATATGAATTATGAAATAGTTGATATAAAAGTGACACGCAACTTTCGAAGAAACTCAACACGAAGTAATTGTGCGAAAATGAATCACGTATATTTATTTAGAAAACTAGAATATCATGGACCTTTTTACGAATTTTTTCGTCCAAAAATACAATTTCCTGAAGATATAAAAGACTATTTTCCTTATGCAGAAATAAAGTGATTATTATTAATTTGTTATGTAAATGAAACAAATAAAAGTAGATTGATTCACATAAAATTAAAGTATTGAAACAGAAATGGAATTGAGAGAATAATGGTTAAAAATAGACATTGACGAACATATTGTTACAAATGAAAGCGTGCTATCTGTTTGTACAAAACAATTTTACCTACAGATTAATGAACCGTGATCTATTCTTAGAAATAAATAATTTGCGCAATTGATATCAGATGAATTCGAAATTTTTTCATCTACAAATATGTATGATTCGATCTAACGGAGAAGAATCTCTTTAATAATTGTCACTATTACAAAAGTAAAATTAAAATATCTAACATTGTCCCCTTCTTTTTACGTAATATGAGTCGTTAACATCAACATTATGTTGTTATTATCCATACCTCTATAATAAAGCACGACTGTCTGTCTGTTATCAGGCCAAACATCAAATTAATTATTGCGAGGTTTCTAGAAAGCTCTAGGATTATGTAGACTACTCTACTAAAACGTAGGTTATATAGGGAGTAAGGAAAATGTGGAGGACATAGAGAATATAGAAGATATAGCGAATATAGGAAATATGAAGATATATACAATATGGGAAGTATCGAAAAAAAAGGAGTATAAGAAATTATAAATAATATAGGGAATATACGGAGCACAGGAAATTCAGGAGATGTCGGGAATATAGAGGATATAGAAAGTATAGGGCATATAAGGAGTAAAGGAAATATAGAGAATATAGGGAGTATCGGAAATACACCCGTTATAGGGAATAGAGGACGCATAGGGAAAATCGGGAGCATGTAAATATAGAGGACATACGAAATAAAAGGAGTGTACGAAGGTATGGACTTGAGTGCACTTCTCTGAAATCACGCCCTACACCATACACGCCCACACCCACACTCTAATGTACAAATTTCTAAGAGGTAGAACTTTTATTGAGCAGAAAAAAGCATCGTCAATGAATCAATTCAGGCAAAACAATCTATCAAAGTTATATTTTCTTTTTTACTGCTTCAATATTTCTCTTGCAGGCTGCAATATGCGGATGAGTTGGTGGCAGTGACATTTGAAATATTTCTAGATTCTTCTCATATAATTTGAGCGCTTTTGTGTACTCTTGGATCTTATAATAGATTCCGCCGAGATTGCCGTAGGACATACCCACATTTGGATGTGTCGGAGGAAGATTTCTTTTGTAAATATCGAATGCCTTTTTGTAGAACAAAAGGGCCTTCAAGTACTCACCCATGTTATCATATACGCCACCAATGTTATTATAGGAAATGGCCAAATCGGAATGGTTTGGAGAGAGAATTCTTTGGTTGATTTCAAGATCTTTTTCATAAAACACAAGCGCTTTCGAATACTCGCCCATACTCTTATACACTGAACCGATGTTATTGTAGGACGTAGCTAAGTCAGGGTGATTTGTAGGAAGAACTTTCTTTTCGATATCAAGTGCTTTTTCGTAAAACGAAAGTGCTTTCGAGTACTCACCCAAGTTCGTGAACAGTACACCGATGTTACTATGCAAGGTAGCCAACAGGGGATGGTTTGGAGGAAGAGTTTTTTGGTAGATATCGAGTGAGTTTTCATAAAATGAAAGTGCTTTTGAATACTCGCCCATGTTATCATACAGCAAACCGATATTGTTGTAGGAAGTAGCCAACGAGGGATGATTTTCAGGGAGAATTTTCTTTTCCATGTATAGTGCCTTTTCGTAAAATGAAAGTGCTTTTGAGTATTCGCCCATATTATTGTACGCTAAGCCAAGATTGTGATAAGAAGTCTCCAATCTTTTATGGTTGGGATCTTTTGTTCGTTCTTGAATGGCGATGCTTTGCTCATAGAATCGAATAGCTTCTCTATACTCACCTCGTCGATCCTTCATCACTCCTAGATGATGATAGTAGTTCGCAGTATCTTTCTCATTGGATGCCTGCTCAATTAACATCGTGTACACTTCTTCGCCCTTTTCACTTTCACCCAATGTATGCATTAGGTGTCCCATCCGTTCCCAACCTGTTGACCCGTTACTTTCCTCTTGCATATATTTGGTAAGAACGGCTAGATGCGGATCATCATCAGCCGTAAGAATAAGATGTACGTGCCACATCAGCGAGCTTTTGCTAACTTTTTCTATTTCAACGATGCGAAACACTGTGTGCATGGAAAATAGAATCTCTTCTTCACTATCGAATTGACTAACTTTGTCGATAAGAGCAAACGGTGACTTGGACATTTTCGGTTCAATACTCATGATAAAAAGGATGCCAATGGAATCCAAGTTCATGGGATCACTATCCGCAAAAGCCATAGAAACATTTTTGTCTCGGCTAGTGGACAAAAAATTGTTGAACGACATCAATCCGCCTATCGTCTTCAGTAATTTCTCGAAGTCCATTTTCGATAAACACTGACCACGATATACAGTAAAATGTTGTTCAAAGTCAGTGGATTGTTCTTGATAGAGTTGTTCGATATGACGATGAAGAAACCGAATGAAGAAACCCATTTTGAGCATAATGTTCACATCCAGTGTTCTCAGAGCTCGATTTAGCATTGAATAAAGAAAATATTCAGAAGTATACCACCAGATTGGCTTGTAAAGTTGGAATTCACTTTCGAACTTGGTAATATTCTTCAATTGGACTGAATTATCGCTGTATATTTGACGACAATATGCTGTAAAGAACTTGATAGCTTTATCATCATCCTTGTCATCAATTTCTAGTAAAACTTTCTTGAAAATTTGAGTATACATGAATGTTGGATCGAGTTGATTGATATGTTGGATGGATAAAGAAGCCGGGTCATTATCATTGACTGCGATGAAACTCATTGGTGTCATATCATGTTCGCACTTTTTGGTTAATCGTCGGACAATATCACAAATCTGGTAAATTTGATCAAAAGCACCCTTCACCTTCGACCAGGATTGAATCCAGTTGTCAGGACATAACTTATCATTGCACAAGATAAAGATGGAATACAGCTGCGGCATATTGTGAATGAGAGGTATGATGTTTTCTCGCAGTGAATCAGAAATAATCATGAAAACCTTGGCATCTTTTATTTCAGTAAGAAAATCGATGCATTGATCAGAATCAGTAAAAATATGGACAGGATTAATGATAGCGCTGAATAGAGTGAGTGCATCTCGAACGTGATCTTTCGTTTCATCTAGGCTTGGATCTAACCAAACTAGTAAACAGTTTTGTACAACGATCCTGGTGTTCAGTTCCGTCATTTTTGATTGTGATGCATCAGAAATAATGGTATAGCTGTGTTGAATCCGTGTAAATCGTTACTACAAACATGAATATGTTTTTTAGATGCATTTCTAAACTCTCGAATAATTTATCAGTATAGTCATCAAATTTTCTCCAATATCTGAGGAGTTAGTGTTCAATTAAGCACGGTTAATGTTTTCTTTCGAGAAAGAAGAAATGAATACGAATTCGGGATGTCAAAAAGTGTGAGAGATTGTAACTGGTAGGCAGCTGTAAAATACTTTATCATAACATTCGATAAAAAAAGGCATGTACTACATAAAGTATCGACTAAATATTTTTGTCATTTATATTATATGTTCTCAGATCTACAGTTCCACTTACTTATAATGTGATCATTATTTAACATCTAAGATATTATTTCAGTTTTAGCCACAAATAAACCAACAATCACTCGCATGAATTCTCAGTTTGTTACTACCGAGAGAAACACAAGCTATCGAAAACATGTGTAAATTCATAAAAAAAAGAAGAAAATGAATCGTTTATTGCTACCAGCCGCTGCACCCTTTACACGGAGAAATGATTACTTGGGTAATTTTTATGTGTTAAAACCGATGTCGGCCTATATTACTACACGGGTTTTGGCGCAGTTAGTGTTTTTGATAGTCAGATTAATATCTTGCCTTTTTAAGTCAGCCTGTACAAAAAACAACAGCAGTGTAGACGATTCTTCTCGTTCTTTTACTCATTCAGATGAAAAACTAGCCACGGTTTCTCCTTCACGTTAAAAGGTGCCGAGAATAAAAGAGAAAAACAAACAAGGAAGATACAAATATCCATAGCAGCACAATTTTCAACAACTCTACAGTAAGAAGGAAAGAAAGAAAGAAAGAAAGTTGTCTGCCCTTATTCGGAGTAGTAAGTGTGGGTGTGAATTTCATATGTTCTCCATACGTACACATATAGGGTGTGGGTGTGGGTGAGGATGACATACATGAGTGACAACAACACTAACACACCTACACCCTCCGGTAAACCGGAGTAGGCTGGCATTTTTTTCTCAATTAGTCCCAGTCATTTGTAATGCAGCAGCTGTTCAGTTGCTCTCTGAATAAGAACTTATAGTCCAATTATATAATTATTAGTTCATTACTTTTATTTCGAAACAAAAAGAGATAATATACATAGACAACAACAACAAAATAAAACAATATCCATTTTAGTTTTTTGCTTGTTCGTTACTGCTAATTTCGATCCTTGTGTTTTGATTTACATCTAAATCATGATTGAACGAATCATCTAAGTAGATGCGTATTCAAATTAAGGTATAGGCTATTAAAAAAAGATATCCATTAACCAACCTTGAATATCAGATTGACGTAATTTTTAAACTTTCTTTTTAGCGTTGCCTCGTTTTAGCAATAAACAGTCATGTAGAGTAGGCCAAACCACTCCCAGTTCCGACTGGTCGAGTCTATATATGGCTTGTACATTATCTAAAAGCAGGAAAAACAATGCAAAACCATTGAATGAGTAACATTAAAATCAAGGTCAAATATAAATATTTAAAAATGTTCCATCCTATAGTCATTGATGTATTTCCACGAATGGGCGGTTGCGAGTTCTAGTTACTTAAACCATATTGTCATTGAATGTTTTCAATTAAACCCTGCATGCAAATTCTTAGAAGTAGTTTTTAAAATCAAGGTGGATATTCGGCAAACTTATATATATATACTTGTATCAATTCTTTTTTCTTTTCTCGTCAACCAATCTTGAAAAGAGCGAGGAATCGAATGCAATGAATTCATTTTCTTTCTTCTATTTATACATTTTCTTTCCATTCTGTTTTTGTCGTCAACTTTTTCGTTCATCGAAGAACAGAATGGAATGAATTTTCTTGTTTGATCATGCGTATCGACAGACATCAACAAATAAAGATCAGTGTTTAAAAATGTGATCAAAATAACAATGAGAAAAAATTTTCATGCATTTTATACTTCGAATAAGTCCGTGTTATAAATCCTTATTATTCAAGAAGTCAAGCAATACATCATTTTCCATTTACTTTTCCTCTCCAAAAAGAAGCTCTTTGAACATCGCATCACTAGTCGCAGTCGCAGGTTTAAAATCTTAAATGGAACCATACAATCGTATAAATAAAAAAGCATTCATCACGACTATTTGAAATTGAAGTGAATTTCGTTACAAAAGAGTGATGTAATTTTTGTATAAATTTGAATTCCACCCTGGTTAGACTAACTATGCATGCTCATTCTATTGTCGTAAATCAGTGCACAGTATGTAGTTGAAAAATCCATCATTTATACATATTTAATAAAAAATATTAATATGCGTTGTTTTGAAATGCCAGCTATCTAGAAAGAATCGTCTATCTTGATAACAGTATAATCGTGATTTATTTAGGCTCATCTATAGATTATGCAGCTATTTAACATAGCACATAAATCAATGAAAAACTAGTCTTGTTTTCAGTCTTGCTACGCCTTAAACAAAATATTTGTGAATAAAACATTATATCTTTTGAAGTCGTACAATCCTCTATTCTATTTAGAATTAACCAGTAAAATTAGCGGTTTACCGCAACATGGGGTAAAACATCAGTTAAATCGTCTAGTATTATCGTCTTGCCCAAGGGGGAAACAAACTGATTTCGAGATTTCATGATTTCGCCTGGGGTTTTGATTTCAAGTGATTTCAGATGATTTCGAGTGATTTCAGATGATTTCAAGTTGATTTCGGCTTCCGAAATCAGTTTGTTCCCCCTTGATCTTGCTTTTCCGTTCCACTATTGGAAAATCAAAGAAAAACAAACGTTTAGACAGGGTTGTAAATAGAAAAGAAAAGTATTTTTATTTTACTCTACTCTTACTTTTAACATACTGAACTGAAGAAGAAGGCAGAAGCACTCCGAGACGTTTTATTAGTAAATTGATATATATTCAATCTTTTTAAGATCAATTCCTACAAGAAAGAGACGGAAATTAATAAAAGAAATACATTTAGTATGACCTTCCTCAACCTCACAAACCCAATAAATATACTTTATATCATAATAAACATCAAATCCATTACGTAAAGATATATGATAGGAGTTTTCAAATTAACAAGTCTGTAAAAACATGGATAAACTATCCGTGCCCTCATTCGCCACGGCAAAGTCCAACTTTCTGTCATCGTTGAAGTCACCAATAAGAACACAAAATGGCTTTGAACCGTAACCCATCGGCATCAGAGTAACACTTGAGAACGTACCATTGCCATATCCGAGGAATATTCCCAAATTGTTAGTGCCTTGAATGATCACGACAATATCTATTACAGTATCGTTATTAAAATCTCCAACAGCTACAAAGTCCGGATAGGAGTCGGGTCCAGTAGAATATGTCGATTGATTTGAACAGCAACCATTGTCATATCCCAGAAAAACACTTACCGTTTGAGAGTCATAATTAGCAACAACGATATCAGATCGACTATCGTTATTAAAATCGCCAACAGCTATAGATATGGGTGTAGAACCAGTTGAATATGTCGTTAGATTAGAAAACGAATAATTGCCATCTCCAAGAAAAATTGCGATGGTATGAGAACCTGAATTAGCGAGCGCAACATCCATTCGAGAATCATTATTAAAATCAGCAATAGCAACCGATCGTGGCCGTGAACCATGGCCAGCAGTGAGTGCAATTTGATTCATGAAGCCTATAATAATGAATCCAAGAAGGACACTCACATCGTTGCCACCATAATTGGCGACAACGATATCCGGTTGGGTGTCGTTGTTGAAATCACCAACAGCTACAGACTGTGGGTAAGAGCCAGTTGAAAACGTCATTTGATTTTCAAAAGAGACATTGTTGTATGTAACAAGAAGATCTACATTATCACTGTTCTCATAAGCGACAACAATAAGATTTGTTCGCATTATGCGTATGCTACAATGAGAAGGGTCATGTGAATCCATACGACTATCTTATAGTGCTTCAATGAAAAGAAGTTGATTATGATAAATGCGTGTACTCATGTAATATTCGCAAATACCTTGCATCTACAAATCGTATGAAAAGGTATTTTTTATGCGTGCATAACAAATGGCACAGCGTTTCATTCTGAATAGAAATAGAATAATACGCATCGAGAAGACATATGAAGGTAAACTGCATCCAAAGTTCTTTTCCTATGAATGATCAAATCTTTGGTCCCTTGTTAACTAGCCTTGCAGAAAGAGCACAGGATCAAGTTGATGCTATGCGAATGTCATCCATGAAATATTTATCGATATTTGAAGGTCAAATAAAAATAAAAATAATTGTCCTCTATAAAGATGCTCCTTAGAATCAAGTCACTATCAAGGATTCAGGAACATCATCAACTGTACTTACATATATTCATTAGAAAAAATATAGGAGGTCTTCCACAAGTCACTTAACATATGATGTATAAATAGCATATCTGATGAAATGATTTATTAGTTTTCGTGACTACATTGATACTCTTCATTAAAAAACAAACTAGATGAGTAGATTAGATTTCGTTCAGTTAATTGAAAAAGGAATTTAGGTTATCAGTAGAACAGAATGATCAAATGAAGTTCATCGTTTTTATTCTATACGTCTCTTGAAAACTTCACTAAAATTAGGATTATAGCACACGATGAATGATTTAAATGCATAGTTTTAATAATTAGCCCAAAACGTACTTTATGTTCTCGCGTTACGTTAGAATCTTGATGTCATAAATGATTCAACCAATCAAAGCTTCAACTCTGAGTCGAAATCTTTTGTTGTTCAGTGGCTTATATATCTGTCACTCTTCCTAGAATGCAGTGACATTTACCACATTACATAATTCTCAATGTTCTAAAGCCTAAAATCCCAACTTTTTATTTGCTATTATCTCTCTTGTAATCAGTTGGTTGCTTCGTCGAGAGAAGTATTCTTTTTTTGACATATTTCTTCATGAAATCTTCAAAACTCAAATGACTCATCATACCGGCCACGGTACGTGATTGTTTTTAATCACTATTTAATGATGAACCAACGAGAATCCTCGCAGTATTGAATACCATTCATCAAAAGATCAGCTTCAATTATTTTGAATCAACTGGTGTCAAGTATTACGAAAGAAATACAATATCAAACATCAATTGATTCTGTAAATGAATGTTAACAGTAGTAAGTCAAACATAAGATGATTAATATATTATTACTCATGAAGAAATTCATCGATTTGAGCATTATTTTTAGGAAACTTCGATTTTTAAACTTAATCTGCGAAGATAACATGCACATTATAACGATGCAAAATAGTGAAAGTTTCGAAACTTTTCATAATTAATATAACCTATAGAATCGCTATAAGCAATTGTTTACATACAGCAGAATCGCTATAGGCGAAGCAGAGCAGACGAAATAAGTCCTAAAGCGATAACGAAATATGCGAATAGTCACATTTCCGAAATACCATCACCGTTAATATCACCGGATGCAATAAATAATGGAGTCGATACAAAATGAATTCCATCACTTATTTGGCGTACAAACGTTCCATT